TGCCTCAGCCTCCTGAGTAACTGGGATTACAGGCATGCGCCACCATGCCCAGCTGATTTTTTGTATTTTTAGTAGAGACGGGGTTTCACCATGTTGACCAGGATGGTCTCGATCCCATGACCTCGTGATCCACCCGCCTCGGCCTCCCAAAGTACTGGGATTACAGGCGTGAGCCACCGTGCCCGGCCATCTGTCACATTCTTATAGGACTCAGGAGCCTCTTCCATAACCAATTTGGGTGAAGCAACATTGATTGCAATTTCCATATCTGCCCATTTGTCTAAGACATCCTGGAAATCTAAATTACGTCCAGATTTTGCTCGGGACAATGCTCGGCTCACTCCATGGCAGGTTGTTCCAAAGGGCTCAGTCATGCCCTGTTCAGCGCCAGTAAGAACATAACTTCAGGTTCCCATGGTGCCACCCGTGAGCCCTGGTTGCCTGGTGAGTTGGTATCAACAGCAATGAGGGGATGGTGGGAGGGAACGCGCGGGCGGATCCCTTCCTGTGTACTAACAATGTCCATTCCTTTCCGTCCACCACGTGCTGCCCCACTTGGGCAATGTTGTGAGAAACTTCACAGATCACGTGGAGGCCCAAGTCCTCAGGGATTGTGTTGAAGACCTTGGTAAAAGACTGACGGGTTGAGAAGGTCATAGAAGGATGGCTGACCCAGGCACATTTCCCAGCTGCTGCCATTCCCTTCGGGTAGTCTTGACCCTCTGGGGAAGCCATTTGAGCACAAGCCAACTACTGATCATTGACTGTAATCTTGTCTCTCTTCATGGCCTTCCCCATAACTACCAGCGCATCTGTGGCTACTTGGGGGCCTAAGCCTCTGCTTCCACTGTGGATCATCATATACACCCGTCCTTTATGGCCGATGCCCATTTTCTTAGCAGTGTACTCATTGAAAATCTCATCTACAACCTGCATTTCTGCATAATGGTTGCCTGCTCCCAGGGTCCCCAACTGAGGAAGGCCTCTTTTCTTAGCCCTTGCAGAGACCTTATTGGGGTCAGCCCAGGCTTACCCTTCTCTTAAGGCATACCAGTCCACCCCATCTCCAAGGCCTCCTCCAAGTGTTTGGGATTCATTGGAATGACACCTTTTGATCCCACCCCAGAAGGAATGTGGTCAAACATAGCTTGGGCAAGTTGCTCCTTCACAGGCCGGACATCACTTTCATCTAAATTGGTTCTTAGCAAGCGGACACCACAGTTGATGTCATACCCAGCACCACCTGGGGATACCACTGCTTCAGGGTCATTCATATCAAAGGCTGCCATATTCCCAGTAGCAAACCCATATCCTGAATGGACATCAGCAAGCCCAATAGATTGATGAACAATTCCAGGCAGGGCTGCCACATTGCCAATCTGTTTCATGGCTGGCAGGAAGCACCACCACCACCACCTCGACAGGCATTCCTTAATTCCTCAAACATCAATTTCTCCAGAGCATCATTCATATAGAAAACGCCTTCAACCTGCATGTTGGGCACAGAGCCCTTCTTGATCCTCTAGCAGGTTTTATTGATTTTTTCCAAGAGCCACAGCTCATCACTATAGTTGCGACTCATGGCGGAGACAACGATAGCAAAACTCAGGCTCCACTTTGAAGAGACGTTGCTGCGTCGTCCGGCTTCCCAGAGCCCCGCCTTCCAAGCCTAAATCAATGTCACAAGTGGACAGTGGTGGATCTAATGCTGACCCATTAACTCTTTTCTTATCATACTTTTTTTTCTTTTTTGAGACAGAGTCTTGCTCTTTCGGCCATGGTGAAGTGCAGTGGCTGATCTTGGCTCACTGCAACCTCCACCTCCCGGGTTCAGGTGATTATCCCACCTCAGCTTCCCGAGTAGCTGGGATTACAGGTGTGTGCCACCACACCTGGCTAATTTTCGTATTATTAGTAGAGACAGGGTTTCACTGTGCTGGCCAGGTTAGTCTCAAACTTGTGACCTCAGGGTTTCACCATGCTGGCCAGGATAGTCTCGAACTTGTGATCCACCTACCTCGGCCTTCCGAAGTGCTGGGATTACAGGCGGGAGCCACTGCACCTGGCCAATTCATTCTTTTTTTTTTTTTTTTTTTTTTTGAGGGAGTTTTTCTTTTTTTTTTTTTTTTTTTTTTTTTTGAGACAGAGTTTCGCTC